AAAGTAGTAAAGAAGGAGTACTTACGATTTGAAATGTAACTGCCGCAGCTGTTTCGCGGGTTGAGTCGTAGGCTCGTAGCAAATATACACAACAAATTAAGTACTGGAATAAGACAAAATGCACAGTATTACACAGAGGAAGTGGAGATAAAGCAGGAATAGACGGGATGGCTGGCTGTACCTTTATGCGCGTTTCAAAGGCTAGCTGGCTTCTCCCACGATTTGCGCTTATGCTTAGTGGCTCCTGGACTTCCGGTTGCTGCTGTTACTGCTGTGCTTTTGTAGAACCTCTCGACCTTGCGACTTATTTCCTGGTTCGTTACAGACGTTGAACCGTCGGTTGCAACAGTCGCTGATTCTTCTAGCGTATTATCCGGCGAAAAAGGTCCAAATGTTTCGGCGTTATGCGTACTCTTCAATAAAGCTCAGTTGTTTTCTTCAATAATGCGTATATTGCGAATATAATTACAAATAAAATAAACAAATGAAAATTGCGAAAAAAAGTTGAGCGTACAAAATTTGAATTGCGTAGAGAGTGAAGTGAAAAGGGGAGTTTTTTGATCACGTGGGTCAAAGCTGCTTCTACTGGTGGAAATGGAGCGACGTTCCGGTGTAGTCAGAACTTTTTACTCAAGCGTCAACAGCTGTATATGTGCCTAATCAAATAAATAAAATAAATCCTATGACACATACTGTATGCTATATTCAGTAAGATTATAACTTACTTTAGTTAGTGTGAGAGTAAGAGTATTGGTTAAACTTTAAATATTTAAGCATTATAATCATTGAAAATTAGCTTTAACATTATATCAATTTTTTTAAGTTGCTGAGCATTTAATACAATTCATTGTGGCAAGGATATGAAATAGTGCTATATAAATATTACTGTATTTTTTTTATTTTACTAAAAACTAAGGTTCAAACAGATTAAAAATAATAAATTAAGACTTTCGTGCTATCTTGTTTACTGATATAGAAATAGAAATCAATATCATGACACAGTAAGCTAGCAATACATTATGTTTATGATAATCAGTCTTTGACCTATTTCAAATATATACTGATAAATAGTTTAATTTATAATTTAAATAATAAATAATAATAATAAAATAAATATTTCCGACACTCACACCAATTAGCCTAGCCCCAAAGTAAGCACTATAAGGCTTGTGTTATGGGATGCTAGGGTAACGGATAGAATACATATACTGTACATATATAAGTATATTTATATAAATACATATTAAACATCCATGACTGGAGTACAAATGCTTGTATTTATCACACAAACATCTGCCCCCACCGGGATTCGAACCCGGGACCTCTCGAGTCGGCGACAGCCATGAAACCCAGCGTACAAACCACTCGGCCACGGAGATTGTCAAACACAAATAGTATGTGTGTATGATATTGTGTAATGTATAAAAGAAGTTAGTCTTCAAAATGAATAAATACTAATAATTATTTTCTCATTCAAGCATTAATTAAATAAAGTTAATAGACAACATTGAATTTTTAAAAATATAATGTACCTTGGGGCCAGCAGCTGATCGGTGGTGGTGATCTAATCATGTGCTCGTGAACTTCTTTAAGAGTCAATGGATCTTCTTCCACAAAATCTAAAGCTGTACTTCCAAATTCCTGTGGAGTTGCATATGTTTAGTTAATGCATACATTGTGACAATAATAAATAATATCAAGATTGATCAAAGATAACTTTTTTTTTCTAAAATTGTTTTAATCAATTCATAAGGGAATTAAATAGGTATAATTTAATAGATATTTTTGTGAAACCAAACTCACTTGTGACATTAGAATTGTATCATCTGATTCACAATCATTTGCTTGACTCTCTATCAAGCTCTCCCTGCTTGCCATAACTTGCTGTAATGTAAGTTGTACAATTTAAAATAGTGGAATATGCATGTAGACAAATGCATACTGAAAGTTGTGAAATTAATTCACATAAAAGTGATTGCTTATAAAGAATCATTATTTACCAGTTCTTATGCAACAATCAGGCTAGAAAAGCTGCTTATCTGGTACAAAACTGTATTTTAAACAATGCAAACGTATAAAATTACGCCACACTGAAAACTTATGTAAGTATCTAGCTATGATCTTAATCAAACATTACTTGTAAATAAGGGTTGTCTTGTCTTGATAATCTTAGGGCCTCCATGTCTTGGGCTATGTTCCTAGTTCGCCCAGGAGTCAGTAGTACAGCTGACGAACCTCCTACAGACGGAGCTAAAACTGAGAATAACAAAAATAAACCTTACGTTCTCAATCTTACTGCACTAAAGACTTATACTTAGCATTCTTGTAAAACACGTACTCGATAATGTATCGTTGCTACCCTCCATTTCTCCAAAATCTTCTGCTCTCTTCTCGTCTCCTCAAGAGCTACAGTGTTTGGTAACCCCTTTTTTATAGAATTGTGATTATTTCACAAAATTCTTGCCTAAACACAATGTCGGGCACGAAAATTTAAATAAAGAATAAAAAGGAAATTCTTAAATAGTCTATTGACAAACCGCTGAGTATTGTTGTTCTATTTGGACTCGTTTTTATCTACATTTTATTTTATTAAAAAGATAGTAATAAAAATACGAATTCACACCAAACCAAACCTGTGATAACGATTTGACAACTAATGACATTGACACATAGTCAGTGTTACCGAACACAAAATTCAGTTGAAACGTAAAGCAAAATCGCTTCAGTTAAAATAAAATCAATCTTTTTGCTTAGGACATTTTTCACTGTTTATTCATCATCACTTTCACCTTCTTCACTTTTTGTCCATTCGAATTAATGAATTATTGTTCAAGGCAATGTTTATGTTTTGCAATTGCATAAGTTTGTGTCCGTCATGCTAGCGTACCCCACAATGAGTTCGAGGTTGTTACTTATGATAATAAATAGTGCGTAATTAGTGCAATAATAATCATTCTTCTCCTATACTTTAGGAAATAATAACTGTTTTCATGGTATACGCTGGCATGACGATCAAGATAGCGGACACCAGGCCATTTTCGGAAACGACTTATTTATTGTTATGCAACCAAATTTTCACAGCAAACACTATGCAAAGTTTCATAAACATAGCTCTTATGGGAACAAAGATATAAAAAAAGACTTATAAATCTAATATATATAATTCTCGTGTAACGGTGTGCGTAATTGATCTACTCCGAAACGGCTCAACTTATTATCGTGAAATTTTATATGCATATTTAGTAGCTCTGAGAAGCGGATAACATCTATTTTTAATCCCCCTTAATTTAAAGGGTAGTCCAACCTTAGACTTTTTTTTTATGATACATCATACATAAATTCATAAAACCTAAATTTTCACCCTTCTTCCATCAACCCCCATTTTTTTATGGTGGTACGAAGTTCGCTGGGACAGCTAGTAACCATATAATAAACAAACTAGATTAAATAAATAAAATAAACTTGTAATAGCACTGTATTTTCTTTTTTTCTTTGTCAATTGTTTTTCTTCTAACTTATCTACTTACTAATGAGGTTGAATAAGCAAGTGTGGTATTGATTCTGGCATGATTCTCTAAAGCTAAACTTAAATTTGACAACAGTGCATCCTTGTCATTCTCTATACAGAATGAATGACTGATGTTAAATTTAGTTATAAGTTTAGAGAATCACGCTAGAATCGGCACCACTATCCTCCTTATTAATAAACACGGAATAAGCTTTGACTAGTTACACCGTGTTTTGTTCCTATCACTCAAATGCCATTTGTCATTCAATGAACAGAGACGAAACATGAAGTAACAAATCGAAGCTTATTGTTCGTTTATTAGTAAGGGTGTATAAGTTTGGATTAGTTAAGGCAGAACTTACAACTATTGACATAGTCTCATTTGTTATCTGTGTACTGGATAGCAGTATTAGCAGTATATTCCCATCATACTTTAAAAGGAATGAAAAAGAAAGTCATCGACGTTTTTTGGACAATACAAAAGAGCATTTCAATAAATAATTAATTTGAATTAAGTATAGTTTTATTCCATTTTATGCTGTCAAGTTGACTTACATTAGTGAACTTAAGTTCACAAATCAAGAACTAATTATTATTTGTAAAATATTATTCCTAGCGTTTTTGTATTGCTACTATGCAGGCAAGCTTTCTTGTCTATCTGTGGTCGATGTTCAAGTGACTTGCTCATCAAATTTAATTTTTTTTACAAATAAATGATGGTATTCTCCGAAACGTTTCCTTTCTCTATTTATAGGATGTATAGCTGTTTTTCGCATTTTGACGTGACAACGTCTTAAATTAGGTTGCGGCTGGGAGTCACTTATGAAAAAGTGTAACGCTCGGTAACGTTACGATGAGTCTCTCGTGTTAAGTTTAAGTTTACATGTACAATGTTTTAGTAAACAAAATATATTTCTATAGTTAAAATTTGTGCAATTCTTATTTTCATTCAATTCCTTGTTCCTATTGTGCAATTTAATTATATTCATATCAATAAATATTCTACCGAGAAAAAGACGTTGTCACGTAAAATCTTCGCCCGTAAAACCGACTTTACAGGCAACCATTTTTTTTAAATAAACATTTTCTAACAAAACCAAATCATCGTCCGATGAGTCCAACATTTTGCTTGATCTGCTTTAATCGGCTTCCTTTATGAAGGATCGGCACCGATAGGCGCCGATAAGCGCCGATCGGCTTTCGGCTTTCTTTCTGTATACGGCCTTATGAGAGAGTTTACTATTAAATCAATCCTATTGAATCAAACCATAAATCATAAAATCGGTATGCTGTGAATCGGGTTGCTAGAAGATTTATTTAGAACGGGCAACTCTGATTTCATTTTCCGTTTATTTGTTTGATAATTTGATTGATGGAATTGAAGTTCAGAATTTAGATTCATAAAATAATTAAAAAACAACTGGTAACGATTGCATGATGCACAAATAAAATTTTGAACTGTTGGTACAGTAATTGATATTAATGTGTTACTATGCGTCGTACATATCGTTCTAAAAAAGACAGTGGAAATGCACTGGACCATCGGGATGTTATCCAGAACTTAGACGAAAAGACTTCAGTCTTTAACGCATTTTACATACAAAAGATCAAACAAGCTAAAAGAGAATTGTCATGTGTTGGCTCCACTAATCACTACATTGCCGCGAACAAAGTACGGAAAAGAAAATACGTGAAACGCATCGTAAGAGAAGCTGAAGCCCCTAATGACTCTCTGCAAGATTCTTTTTCTCAATCAGCATTCCTGACTCCTGATAAATCTATAAAAGTGAATAAAGTTCAAGATTTATTTGATCAACTTCTGAACTCATCATCATCTAAACCGACTGAATCACCAGTGAATACTAAAGTTCAATCCAGAGTGTGAGCATGAATAAAAACTTTGCATCCTAATTGCAGTATTTATAATGATAAATTACCTATACTATTCTAATTTTTTAAATAATGTGTTTTAGTGAAAGAAAGCCATACTTCAAGAAACGGAACTTGTCAAAAATTAAGAAGTTTAACTGTTCTAGTAGTGACAGCAATGGTAATTATTACTCTTTCCGTGAAGTCTATTTAGAACAATTAGATTGAAATGATAATAACATTTAACTTATTCCTTTTCCTAATACTTGTTTTATATCTCAACATACATTTGCTTTTATAAATATCTCGCTACTTACTTTGTTTTCAGATTCCGATAAAGAGAACTCGAATGAGACATCTCTCAATAATACAGATATAAGAACTCATGAGCTGCTTATAGAAAAGCAGAAAAGCTCAAGTCCTAGACATTTAGATGAATCTATAAAAAATGTAGTTAAAAAAATTAGCATTCTAAAAAATTTTAGACTTTCAAGTCCTAGTTTTAATGATTCAACCAATTTAAATCATAATTTTTATCAAGATCATAGACTCACCACGAATTTGCCATCACCGGATCTTTCAAAATCACCATTATGTAGTACTCCATTCAAAGAAAAATATAGAAGTAAGTCTATTTACAATTTTTCACCTGTTGGTATAGAAAAAAATGAGAATAGTCCGAATTATATTACAATAATTGAAGAAAGTGCCAGTCATGATTTGTTGGATATTGATAAAGAGAATGAGCCACTTGCAGCTGTGGAAGCTCAATCTTCACCCATTATTCATTTGTCTGTTAATAAAAGTGGCAAAAGTGATAGAACTAATAAATCAACTAGCAAATTTGATCTCAAACCAGACATAAAAACATATTTAATGCCATCTATTTCCAAAGATTCAGAAAATAGTAAATTTAAAAATGATGAAGTTGTAAGTATTGAAACAAGTGAACTTGAGCCATTTTTAGGATTTTTAAATCTTGATGATGTTGGTCCTTCCATGGTGAATTTAGTTCACAAATCTAGTGAATGTCATAAAAATGAGGAAATTAGGGCTGACAACAGTTTTATTTTTAAGAGTGGATCTTCTCAAAATAAAAGTAATCCTACATCCCATAAAAATAGTAATAGTGATGACAAAAGTAATGACGATAATATGTCTTTAGAAAGTGATGATTTATCATATGACACTTGTGCAAGTGAGGAATCTCTACCCAATTTAATTGATAAAGGTTTAAAAGTACCTGTTGTTGAAGTAGAAAGAATGGACAATTCATTATTGATCAAGTATTACACTAAACTTTTAAATAATTATGAGAGATATAGTACTGATGAGAGTGATGACTATGCTAGCTTAGAGGACACGGAAACTGATAAAATTTCGAATCAAGGAGATGATGAAGAAAATGTATTTGAAGGCAATACTGATCATGAAGTTAGTTGTATACAAAATTATTTGAATGATGATAATATTTCCAATGATGATACAAATAACTCAATTGAAATAATAGCAAATGGTGAGATTTACAATGATTATGTGCCAGATGTCTTAGAAGAAACTAATTTATCAAATATTGCTGACTGCTCTCTACATGATGAAGAAGAAAGATGTATCAGTTTTGTAACTACTAGAAAACGCAATGAAGTAACAAATAATTCAATTATGCTAGAATTTAATAATTCAATAAACAGTACAAGCAGTGCTGAATATGATAAGACTGTACTTAGTAATAATGACTTAAGCCTAAAAGAATATTTAAGTTCTAGTCTTGAAATAGCTAATGAGCATAATGTTAGAAATGTTGTTAACTTGACTGAATCCCCAAAAAATGATGTAGTAGACTCTGAAAAAAAATATGATAAATTTATGGGCAAAAATAATAATTTTCAACTTATTTCACAAAGATCTACAAATATACCAAGAGATAGTTGTGTGGAAAGTTGTTCTATAATTAGTTCATTTGATAGTACCAAAGCAGAAGTTAAACCTGCTATAGTTTTACAGCCAGGAAAGAAATGGGAGAGATCTTTAAGTATTTACAGAAGAATGACTATGATGACTGATAATTTTAACCACTCTATGTTAGAAGATGAACAATTGCAAAGTAAGGGTAGAAAATATAGACAAAGTGTTGTTAACACTATGGAGATGCAAGATTCCAAAGGTAATTTAGTGTTATGATTGATAAATAATAATATATAAACTCTCAGACTAAGAACTCACAGAGCGGTTTTAATCTGCAGCTGCAGAACTATTTTATTTCAAAACTCACGAGATTGGGCGCGGTTGAAAATCTCGCCGTGAGTTCTTTGCCTTATAGTAAAAGTATGATTGAAACTCTTTGAAATAAATTCATATTATAATCTCTTCATTTTTAAGTCTGGTCTAGTATAAAAAAGAATAAAATGTCACATCACAAAGTACATTTGTCACTTCCACCTAAAGTTGCAGTGTAATGTCAGGTTTGAATTTTCTTTATTTATATGTAAAAATTAAAATGGGTTTCGATAATATTTGATTCTTTTTCAGGTTCAGTACACAATGAATCAATTGTCAGTCGGAGAAGCACTTTCGTGTCTAAACCTAGTAGATCCACAATCCGGATTATAAGGGTACATATAGCCACTATTTTTATTTTATTGAAGGGGGTGTGAAACTTATTGATAATTACCATTATTTTGTAGGAACCCAGCAGTTCGAGGCTTAGTTTATACACTAGTACTGTATATGAAGATCTAAAAGGTATGTGAAATTATATATTCTCTTTGCCAGTATTATTATGGTCTTAAAATATAGATTTATATTTTTACAATCATAAGACAGTATTACTTTGTAAAACTTTTCTACTACATGGTAACTTAAACTAAAGATCTGGCAACATTAATTCCATTCATCATACTGTGAAATTATATGGTAGTAATTTAGATTCCGATTCTGGCAACATTGGATACGGAAAAAAGTATATTTTTTTTATCTGTCCACTTTCCGTTCGTCGATTTCGCGGAAGAGGACGCGTTGTCGGGTCTTTGTCCACACTTTTATTTTATTTTTATTTAGATATTGCGTGACATTACACAGCGTGTAGTGAATACTTTTTGCTATTATTCACGAATAATAACAGTGAGAACTTTAGATTTGTGTGAAACTCTGTGGTGTTGATAATCGATTTGACTGCCATTCGTTATCCCTAACGGGATAAAAGCTTGGTTCTGCCCCTTTGTTCTACAAAAAGTGTCTAAAGCCAAGTGCATGCATCTTTCCCTGCAATACACAGGTCAGTCGATATAATAAATCAGGTTTATTTCAATTTAAATATCATCCTTCCACCTTCTACGTAATAAATTCGTGTGTAGGGAAAGTTCGTCAGTCACTTCCTTGTGTGTCATGGTTGCGTTCTCTGACGCGGTTACGTTTATTTCAGGATTTCTGTCCGAAGATTGTGATGATACGGTTGTTGAACTATCAAAACTATCTATCGCCGACTCGGAACATGAAGTTACTGTTCTAGAGAACAACTTACATGAAACATCGAATCGTGTCTCCTCTGCGAGGGATTACGTGTTGCGTCGATGCAATCAAGCGGACGCGATTCACTTCGATGAATGCTATCCAGAAGAGTGAGTGTGGTTTTTTTTCTGTGTTCATTTTGATATTGATGTTTTTATTTGGCCTTGCTCTCAAAACCAAAAAGTTTGGTTAGGTATGTAGGTCAAGCAGCTATTGTGGTATTTCTCAAAACAACTGTGTTAAACAATACATTTTGGTCACAATGTAGTTTATATGAAGCATGTAAATTTGTGTGAATATTCTCAACATTTATTTTCTTCTACCCTTCAATAGTAATTTTATAAATTCATATATTGAGTTGTTTTTTTGTTGACACTACTATCCATTTGTAATCCACATAAACCATTTTAGGGTCCTGAAAAATTGCCGCAAGATTGGCGAAGGAGTCTATGGGGAGGTATTTTTGTGGAGAGCTAGAGATGGCCGTGCGCGTGTGATGAAGATTGTCCCTATCGCAGGCACCACTAAAGTCAATGGCGAACATCAAAAGGACTTCCATGAGATTATCTCGGAGATAGTGATTGCTATGTAAGTAGTCTAATGTGTATCTTTTTTTATATCTAACTTAATTATTTTTTTAATTATGTTATAACTTTTTTAATAATGCATTTTTTTAAATAATTTAATGGTTAGAAACTGTTTTTCTGATTAGTTGTTGTCTAGTTGAGTACGAGTAATAGTTTCTTTTGATATTTTTTAGGGAATTGAGTGCATTACGCACTCCTATAGATGAACTTCAACGTGACTTTGATGAAGGGAAGGAAATTGATGCTTTGGATCTACATTCTGTAGAGAATGCTACTGATGTTTTTAATGAGGTAAGAGTCTTGGAAGTTTGCTTTGTACTATTTAAATTTTGTTATTTGTTACATTAGCCCTGTCTTTTATTCTACACAAAAAAAAACTACCTGGTTCTTGTAAGGGTACAAATTCTTTTGTTGAACACAGCTCACACTGTAGGTGAGTTTCTACCTGCTTCACTGGATCATTATGTTTAAAATAACCAATTTTTTACAACTGTTAACTCTATATTTTGATGACTTATCTTAATAATTTACATAATTATGTAGACTTTCTTTTTCCCCTGAACAGTTAAATTTAAAAAACAGGTCATTTATACAGTTTTATAATGTCACAAACATTTCAATGATAATATTTTTCTTTCCTAATCTGAGAAACGAACAAACTCTGAGTCACTATCAAGAGATTAATTTCCAATAATGAAAAAGGTTGATGCTTAATGCCCATGAATCATTCTTTCATAAGACGATAAAGATATAGAATACTGAATGCCTATAGAAGTAATTACCATTATGATAAGCCAACTGGGCCAGACTGATAGACAGTACAAATGTTATCATTGTATGTTTGCTAAAATCCTTATTAAATTATGATAATGTTCTTCATTTTGGTATTTGAGTTGCTAGTTTAATTAACTTAGAAATAAACCCTATGCAGCTATCAATAAAGGATGTTTTAGCTATTTTTATATCAAGACTAGTTATCTTCAATAGACATGCAATATAGATAAACCCTATCTTAAATTTCATGAGACTGCACATTCATATTCTTTAAACTTTGAAGCTTTGAATTTTATAATATATCAATGTCTGACTGTGACTTGTCTAGGTACAATATTTGTATTCCCATAGAAACCATCAGCCCCTATATGCTTCAAGTTTTGTTTTTTATTTTTATGCCAAACCATCTAAATTGGCTCAGCTGTTTAGGCATGAAAGTGTACCATACATTTATTTAATTTTTGATTAGTATGAATTGCCGGGCCCTGTAATTTTTTAACATTATTGCCATAATCATGTTATGTCATATTGTCATAAGTTAACAATATTTTGACAAATTAAATTCCAAAGTTAATAACAGTATAAAATCTAAGCATCTCAATCTTACACTCTTGATTTTAAATGATCTCCGTACATTGAGTTTTCCGCTACTTTCAATAAATTTGCTGAGTTCTCCGTTCTACTTTGACATGGCACCTTTTCCGTTTAGGTGTTAACGGTTAAATGCGTATACGGCAATTATCCTTCGCGTTTGCTCGACTTGTGGGAGCTTTACGACGAGTGCAACGGGTCCGAGAACGACAACCCGGCGATACTGCCAGTGGATCAGCAGTACATTGTGTTGGAACTCGCAAACGCTGGCCAAGACTTGGAGAGCTTCGAGTTCAACAACGCTGAGCAAGCGCATGCTTTGTTCTTGCAGGTGAGTGAGTTTGACGCTTGTTTTATTTGTAGGTTAAAGCTGTTATCCTTTGCCTCAATCTGTAATGCTCTAGCCATCTTGTTGGAGTCTTGTACACAATATTTATTAAAATAGTATTTTTTTAAAAAGATGTTGGGCAAGCTATTTTACAAGAAGAGGAAAATGTAGTTTAAATAGGGTGCAAAATATAATAATATACTATTCTATATCTCTCATTACATATAAAAACTACATGGTAACTGAATGAAAATTTTTTGCTTATATTATTTGAAATAGATATTCAAATATTTTCTTACAGTCCATTTGGTAATTCAGCTGATGTATGCAAATATGTATTGTTTTAATTAAGTGACTCACTCTTACTTGGAAATTAATGGGTTGGCTTTCTTTTCTTTCCTGCCTTCAATAGCAATAGGCACTGTATTTTTTGCTATATGTACTTGTTTTATTTTTAGATAACAATCCCTTTTTCTAAATGAGAGAAATCAGGTGATTGCCTGACTGAATGCAAGTCGGGCAATTACCTGACTTTCGTATTGCCAAATTAGAAGGCTGTATGACGTTAGAGTAACTTTAAAAATATCATTGTTTCTAAGAATGTTTTTGACATATAATTAATAGGATATGAAAGAATATTACCCATGTTTTAATTTTTTATTTAAAAAGTTATAGCATTCTGATAATGATGAGACAACTTGAAAATGAATACAAAAAGGTCGAGTGTGATGAACGGGTTAAATAAATTTAAAAAAGAAAAGAATTAAAACATTGTTTTAACAATTTTCTACTAACAAAATAAACCCTTGCGACGGTTCCAATTTGACCTTAAGGGAGGAGGGAGGGAGATAGTTCGATTATTCATTCATTATTATGTATAGTTGGCGAAAATCTTTACGTAATACACACATCAAAAGGGTCTAGGGATCAAGCATTTTTATGCGGATTTCTTGAGATTGAGATGTGGCTTTGTAATAAATTTATGATTTTATAAATTTATATGGATCCTTTTTGGTGCATTTCATAATTTGAATCAGGAACTGTGAATCAAATTCGAGTAAAAGATGAAAATCAGCTGTCAATATTTTCCCTATAAAAACATACAACGCATTGAAGACATTATTAGTGCTACTGTTTCCCTACTACTGATTAAAACCAACGTTATTATGGAGCGGCGACGTCATTTAAGCAGGGAAGAAATGCTCAGAGCCGTGGGAATGATAGAAGCTGGTTCCCGGCAACGTACTGTGGCTTTAGCTCTGAATACAAGTCAGAGTGTTATCAGTCGACTTTGGACACGGTACCGAAGCACTGGTACCGTGGCTGAGCGCCATGGAGGACGGTATCGCTGCACCACACGGAGACAAGACCGATACATTCAAATCTTAACTCGAAGAGCTCCAACAATAACCGCCATGATGTTAGCCGTGAGGCTTCATCACTCTTCAGGGAACTTAATTAGCGACCAAACAGTCAGAAACCGCTTGCATGAAGTGAACCTTCATTCCCGAAGACCGCTACGGGTACCACCTATAGCAATGCACAATCGTAGGATTCGATATCAATGGGCTCTTGAACACAGAAATTGGGCCGAAGAACAATGGCGTTTCGTGTGCTTTTCTGATGAGTCTCGTTTTGGTATGAGACCGGATACAAGACGTATACGACACTGGAGAACCCCTGGACGCCAACAGCGATTAAAATCCTGCCAGGAAGTCCATCCTTATAGTGGTGGAACCATCATGGTATGGGCGGGTATTTGGATCGGCGGAAGAACTGAGTTGATTTGGATCAGAGGCAACCTCAACGCTCAAATTTATGCTGAGACGATTGTATCAGACGTCATCGTTCCTCTACAAGTGCAAATCGGTCCCTTATTTCAGTTAATGCATGATAATGCACGACCGCACACCGCAAGAGTTGTAAGACAGACTCTCGCCGCAGCTAACATCAATGTCCTGCCCTGGCCTGCTCAGTCGCCAGACTTGAACCCGATTGAGCATGCATGGGATATGCTACAGAGAAGAGCTCTGCCGAATATGGAGGGTATCCAGTCGCAAGAAGACCTTTTTTTGTTGTTGCAACGAACATGGGCGGCCATTCCACAGCGTGATTTGGATGAACTCATTTTGAGTATGCCAAACCGATGTTCTTGTGTTGTTAGTGTTCGCGGTAGAAATACGGATTATTAATTGTTTAAGTTACCCAATAAAATTTTAGAGAAAACTGTTATTTCAGTCTTTTTTCGAACTTTTGTGTTAGTGGTTCAAATGTCAAAAATCCCTTTATTAGGAAAATGGCAAATTTCTTTATTAATGCAAAGGTGACTTGGTTTATCGTTACTGTGACAAACGAAAACACTTTATTTGATGAATCCTTAAAGAAAATTTTAATTAATATCAATCAGGAGAAAAGTTATTGCAAAAATATATGTTGATCCCTAGACACTTTTGATGTGTGTATTAATTTATTGTCATATATATCAATTATTGTAGGGCCTTGGATGAAAACATCAGTGTCTAACTTAATAGAGATAGAAAACATAGTGTTTAAATACAAAAAAATACTGCTATCTGTGCCATTTCAAAAGGGTGTTAAACAAACATAAAGAGTCAGCGGATTGCTTGACCTGATTCCATTTTCCTGACCTATAATATTCGCGCGACCTTGCTCACAGAACACGCCACCACAGAATAATATTATTGTACTGCAGTCTTCAGTAAAGTGACGATAAAAAATTGTAAGACAAAATTGTATTGTCTATTATTGCAGCTCACAGTTTTTTCGGTGTAATTAAGTTTAACTTAAATAAAGTAGCCATTGGTGTCCATTCCGGCATGAATCTCTAAACTTAAAACTAAATTTAACATCAGTCTCTCTTTTTCATTCTGTAAAGAGGATGATAAGGATGCACTGTTGTCAAATTTAAATTTAGGTTTAGAGAATCATGTCAGAATCGACACCATTGTTGGGTAAGCTACATATATAAAATAACTAGCTGTGCCCCGCGGTTTATTAGGGATATTTTCCCGCAGTAAAAAGTAGCCTGTGTTAATCCAGGGTGTCGGCTAATTCCATTCCAAATTTTATTAAAATCGCTCCAGCCGTTTAGACGTGAAGAAGTAACAGACATATACACTCACAAACTTTCGCCTTTATAATATTAGTGTGATAAGTATGCATTTTATTTTGTTTAAATATTAATATGAGAGTATTAAGCAGTTTCAGTAACTGTCTCTTTGCCTGAAATGTCGTTTTTAAAACGCGTGGCTGTATGAAGGCCCCGTGAAAGGTCAAGCGCGCATTGCGGATTACACACTGTCGTTTGTATAAAGATAGTGACTGATGTTATCTACTTCGCACAAGGGTATTTGTTGTCTGTACCCAAGGTTGCCAGTTTGCATCCATTTATTATGGATGCATAATTCAATAGTTTTTACAATTTTATTCGTATAAATACGAGTTTTTAGATTTTAATATCTACCTCAGAAGCTTGAATTGAACACTAATTATTAACAATTTTAAAATAAATACTGACTCATACTTGCACAGTGACACAGTTCCTTTTTTATTTATTTTATAAAGCAAAAATGAATTTGAGTGAACATTAAAAAAAAAAAAAATTTTATGATTCAATTTACTAACACTAGATTTGTAAGCATAATTGTTACTAACCATTATGGATGAATAATCTGAAATAAATGTTATTATTATTAAAATTAAGGCGTAGGTTTCACATTCAACAAGCCAATCCTCTAATTACTATCAACATTATTAAATCATTACTCTTTCATGAACATTGGATAACATCACGTACAGTGGCTCTAATCTCTAAAGTTGATAGCTGATTCACTCGTTTATGAAACTCGGAAACAAAGACGCACTCACAAGACGAGAGAAAATATCGTTCTATACTACAATTAGCTTGATTGAGATCCCATACTAAATGGCTGAATAGTCGCACAGCACAAGTAAACATCAATACCGCGGAAAATTTGTGTTTTTAATCAATTAACAAAATGATCTTTTCGCAATTCTATTTTGAACGAAATCTCCTTATTATTTGCTAGAATTTAGTAGTTGGCAACACCACAAAACGACTGACACACGCTACATGGCCGTTTACTAGCCATAACAGACGCGTGCCAATAATCTTCGTAAGGTGATGACCTACTCGCCTTCTAGGAAGTAACTACGTCATGTATATTCCATTTGTCTTCTTCTAATATAAAAGCTGATGCCATGGGAACACTGCCAAAGTCGTAGTTTGCCAAAAACTAGAAAGTATAAAAGAATAATATTTACACTGAATTTTGTATCATATCGGACATAGAACTTTTGATTTACTAAAAGTAAACTATTGCCTGATTTCATTATTGCCTGTTTTAGATTTGTAGGTAAATGTGATTTTATTCCTTTGATGCAGTTAAAACATATAGGTTACTCCAAGGAAAATAGCTTGAACAAATGCAACATTGTTTAATGATATTCGAACAGTTCTGTGTTCTATGTTATGTGATAGAAAGTTTAGATTAGATTGGCGAAACAATTTCGAAGGTAAGGAAGCTCGTGTAGTTTCCTTAGTAGCTTGGAGATTCAAAATACTAGATATTTTAGACTAGTTGAAGATTTTTTCAGCTACATAATAAATAATATTACAACAAGAAGACTGGTCGGAAATTATAAATATCTTTTTATTTGATCGAAAAAGTAAAGCTTTGTAAAAACTGGTCTATCAAAGACTTCATTTTATTTATAAGAAATTAATAGCCACGTAATTTGTTTTAACACTTATCGCTTTAGTATCCGTAGTAATGTATAATTAATTAACCTCATTAATCGAGTTAAGAAACCACAATGAGTTTTAAATGCAACAATTTAACTACCTAGCGTTACAAAACGATCTTTATAGGACAGACAGATAGATGCACTTAATAGAACTAAGTACCAAGTGATTCTTGCAACGTTGTAGGTTCAGTTAGTAGGAATTGAGGTCATTTTGA